GGCATTTCTGGGACTTTTTATTTTCATACTTTTTATTTTCATAAAAAAAGTAACTAAAATTTTTTACTAAAGGTCAAAATAAAATTTGTGCTGCACTCACCTCTATACTTTAATCTGAAAAAAAAGAAAGAAAAAGTAAACAGTCTGAAATGATAAATAAAATGGTGGGAGTTTTAATAAAGCGAATATGAAGCCGTTCACCTCCCGTGCAGCAGGTGGCAGCATTTACCCCTCTTTGTTATTAAGTCTACACAATCGAAGAAGAAGTGGATACGGAAGTCCGACCACAACTGACTTTTTATGTTCTCAACTCAGTAGCTGGCGGGGTCACTAAATGTCAGTTAGAAACAGTTAACAACAATTGAGGAGCTCGTTACTCACACTTTGTCTTTTACGAAAGGAGCAGGCCGTTATGGACGCGTGGGTCCGCTTCTCTGCGCAGAGTCAGGCCAAGGAGCGAGTGTTCAGGTAGAGTTGAGCGCAGCCGGATTAACCACGCTAGTGTTGCTCTGTGTGGCTGTGGTGACAGCGTGTCGTCACTATCACACACACAAACTCACTCGCCTACCCTTACTGCAATGCATGCTGGGAAGCTAATCATATTTACTTTAATATCAATAATAGCTCAATTACGGATACATTTGATATATTTCATATATATATATATATATATCGATGAGGTACAGGAAATGTTTATTGACGTGAAACCACTTTATCATAATGTAAACAGAACTCATCAGGATACACTGTGATGCTAATAAGTGATGCTAATATGGCAAGGAGAGGCCAAGTAAACAAACAGTTGTTTAGATCCCATCAAAGTTATGATCTTAACCTTCAAATGTTGGATTAAAGTTCCATTGTTGAGCACCCCCCCTAAATTAATTAACACACTACTTACCTTACGTACCTTTCAGTTTGCTAGCATCCTGTGTACCAGAGTGATTATGGAGCAGGCTAATGACAGTGTGTCTACGTGTGTGTCCTGACAGGACGGCACAGTACGCCTGCACTCTCCTCGGTTACACCCTGCAGAAAAGTGGAGCATCAACCGAACTTAGAAAAACCGTCAGTCACCTGGAAGCGCACATGAGCCTGACCAGAAAATGTGAGTGCTGTAGCCCAGTTCCCTTTTTCTTTTTTTTCTTTTTTTTAACTACCATAAGTGAAGTCAGTGTGATTGATATCCATGACTGTGTTGCACAGTGATGCGTTTGGGAAACTCAGTGGAGGCGCTTGAAGCTGCCAAAAGGGCCATCCACCTGTCCGACAGCGTACTGAGGCTCTGTCTGACCCTCGGCCACTTGAACAAAGCCATGTACTTTGCCTGTGACAATGTCCTCTGGGCTGGGAAGACGGGCCTCGTCTCCAAACTGGATCAACACAAATGGAGTCAGAGGTCTTTTAGGTAAGAAAACGTTTCACAACAGACTTAGTTTCAGGGTATTTTAAGCCAATTTTTCTGTACATGACTTATACTTCTGCGCAGATACTACCTCTTCGCCCTGATCCTCAACCTGACTCGAGATGTGTACGAGCTGCGGCTGCTCATGGAAAGCGAAGCCCGATACAGAGCCAGCAAATCCCCACCCTCGTCCTCCGGCTCCCTGCCGGATGAGCACCTGTCTTCTGCCTCTGCTCCGGGCGCTGTGGCGTTGCCCATCGTGTCATTTTGGCTCCGCAGACAGCTCCACCTACTTGTGACTGTGCTGTACAACAACCCGCCGCTGCTCCTGGACCTGCTGAAGAACAGCTGCGACATCTTCATTCCACTGGACCGGCTGGGGATTTACCCCACAGGATCAGGCTTTGTGGGGGCGTGTGGCCTGACCTCCTCGGTCCTCTCCATCCTCACTATGATTCACCCCTGGCTCAAACTGAAGCCGTGAGAAGCGAAGAACGGACGCTTGACACAAAGATCGCCTATAACATTTACATTTTCTAAAAGATGAACTGACTTTGTTTCATAGATCGACGTGCTGAACAGGACAGTTCAGAGTGTAGGAAGTACTGGAGCGATCGAGGCTCAGATCAGGAACCGGCCTGAGACATGGACACCTGGTGTGACTCAGACCCTGACTCACGCCCCACTAATATTTTAGGACAAATGTCAAGTTACACAAACTTGAATGAGTCATTTTCAAATTTGTAACTCTACGTCAGGGGTGTCAAACATAGGTCCCGCGGGCCAAAACCGGCCTACTAGGGTGTTGAATTCGGCCCGTATGATGAAATTTTAAAAATGCAAAAAAGATATACACAAACATTTAATGTTCATTTTATTAAATATAAATAAGAAATATCTAATATACTGTACGTATTTGCATGAAAACAAAAGGGAAAAACATACATACGATGTTATTTAGAGTTAATTATTTTATGATTGTACTGGTCCGGCCCGCTTGACAGCTAATCAGGTTGTCTGATGTATGTGGCCCCTGAACCAAAATGAGTTTGACACCCCTGCTCTACGCGTTAGCCCTCGTAAGCGCTAATGAAAAGCACAGCATGGAGAATAGAGCAGTATTCATTAGCTAACCTGATCATACTTGTTCCAACAATTAACTGCATTTAATTGTTATCAAAAGTAGCAGCTGTTTAGTTTGTTTACTGTAAGCTTGTATAAAGACATAATCCAACATGGCCACCTCTAGAGAGCAGACCTGATCCTAATGTTAAAAAAACACAAAACAGTTTATTTTGTGGAACTGATGACAACATAAAAAAACTGTTTATTTTGTGGAACTGATGACAACATACCATACTCCAATTCATTCTACAGTTGGATAAATAATTGTCCAGTTGTCCATAATTGTCTCTGGCTGGTTCCTGGCACTGACCTTGGGTCAGTGCTGATGGTGTGACGCTTTTATATGCTGCCATGTTTGTACTCCGGTTACATACGAATGGACTAACTGATGACTACTAAACAATTTCTGGCTTTGTTACTGATATTGTCAAGACTAAAACCTGGTCCTAATGAGGCACCAACTCATTTTCCCAAAAGGAAAAAAAACAAAAACCCTGCCTGTATCTGTGTGCACCTGGTCAAAATGTAAATACAGATGTCTAAAAAGAATTCCTTATATTTTACTTTATCAGATTAATGCCTAGTCGTCACAAAACTTTTGACTGTATGAAACATTTCTCAAACGTTGATGAAATTGGGTTTTTGTTTTGTTGGGAATTTCTAATAAACTACATACAACAGTGATTTTGTATTTATGGCTGGTTTTTTTCCCCTTGAATACCAAATTTTCCCGACTATAGATCGCATTTTTTTTCATCCTTTGGCTGTGTTTATGACTTAAATATATTTTTACGTTCGTTATTTTCACACGGACAGCCATATATTTTTATTTTCACGTTCGTTATTTTCACACGGACAGCCACTAGGGGCATTTTAGGTTTGTGTACCAGTATCTGCTACTCCTGTACCACTGAAAATGTATATGTTCATTATTTCAGCCACAAGAGGGCGCTCTAGCTGGCCAGTGGATCTTACTCAGGAGCGACTTATAGTCTGGAAAATACTGATTCTGATTGGATCTACTTTATAATGATTTAATAATAACTTTGTTAGTACGTTACAATTAAAAATGGCAGCCGCTCCCCGATATGTGCTGTGGGGAACGTTTACTAGTCCGACTTGGGGGAGTCAATTCAATTAATCCACAGTTTTTCAACGTTGAGGTGCTCGGTAACGGCAGTCAGACTTTAAGTTTCTTGTTATCTCGACACATAGAACGAGTCCTGGATCAAATAAAAAAAAAAAATTTTTACTCACTATTACAAACAATAAGTACAAAGAAAACAAAGGGGAAATAAAAATGTGACGGTAAAACAGAGGCTAATGTCAAAGCTCATCAGGGACCAGTGAGAGTCTGGTCCACTTCCTGCTCGTGTTTGTGCTCAACAGCAACCTTTTCAGCAACCGCTTATACTTTCTTTAGGGAGAAAAAAAAAAGAGCAGAAAAACAAAATCCAAGTTTTTAATCTTATGGAAAAAAGCAGCAGCTAAAGTTTCAGAGCTAAAAACGAACATGTGGTGTAGGCGGTTTATCAATAAAAAAGTATTATAAAAAGTAACAGTGTATTTTTGGATTTTTTTTTAAGTAAAAAATGTAGCGCTTGACTTTAGGTTAGCATTGGAATTTGTGGTAAATAGCATATAATCTGGTGAAGCTAATAAGTCACAATATGATACTATCACGATATTTTGCTGTATAATAATATCACAGAAGGGGGTTCTGCCGTAATCAATATATTGCAATAAATTACACCCACAATACATCACAATATCTGTGCCGCTAAAGACATTCAAGAATTCACTGAAGACACTAAATCCGTTCCCCATGAATTGTTCAAAAATATTGCCAATCACATGATGGTCAGCCATTACTCATGTGAAATCACTAAAACAGTCAAAAAACGTGCAAGAAAATTTCAGGCGTAACCGTAAAGAAGGAAGAAAAAATGCCTAAAAGTTCTCAAGCAATCACAACCGTCGTACCATGGAGCAAATAGTATCCCAACAAATCAAGCTAGCAAGCTCAGCCTGATTTGTTTTGATTTCTGCACTCACGCCATCTCTTGCGCCATCATATGGTAGCTTGAAAAAATTCCATCTCTTGCAGAGTGGTCTCTGGCGCCATCATATGGTAGCTTGAAAAAATTGCAGCGTTTATTTTTTTGTGAGAAGATCTGTTTGCAACGAGTGTATGTTTATTGTTTAAATATCAATGTTTTGTATCGCGATATATCGTGGTATCTATATTTTGGCACACCCCTATTCTGTGTAAAACATATATATTACTGACCGTGTGTGTGTGTGTGTGTGTGTGTCCTGGGGAGGATTGTGTGGCGAAAATTAACCTTAACTCTCACTCCTGGGTCTCCATGCTCTCCTCTTCTCCGTCTCCTCCTTCCTCCAATGCTTCATCTTCCTCCTCCTTCTTCTCCGGAGGCTTTTCATAGGCCTTTTCTGACGGCGTAACAATGACACCATCCCATGTAGACATTTCTGTCGTCAAATCTGCAAATCGCACAGTACATCAGGATCAGGCGCGGTTACTGCAAACCGCCAAAGCGTTTCTGCGTTCAGCTACCTCTGGACAAATGATATAATGATTTTGCGTCTTACAGCTAGCATCTCCCTCAAGGCCGAGGATCTTCCTGTATCCTCCGTGAGACAGCACCCTCACCAGAGTCTGAGCGGTGAAGCACACCATGTCCTGGACACAAGACGTCAGTCTCATCAATGGACATAACACACACTCGGAGAAAAGATTGTATTCATTGCTTTGTTTGCACATTTTTTGCGAAAATTACAATGGCTATAAACAGGCGAAACAATAAGGTATTTTTCAACTAAGTGGAGAGATGGCTATAAAATCTAGAAGAAAGACTCAGAGCCGTTGAAGACCTTCATATGGCTTTCTTCAATTCCTGCAAGCATATCAGCATCGTGTACAACTAAACAGGCCCACGTTTCAAAGTAGGTCATTTGTGAGTAAATTAAAACGTGAAGATCAATATATTTCTTTATGTCTAATTTTCATCGATTTTCAATCCCTTTGTCACATGTCTAATGTCAGCATAATATTACGAAAAACAATATATACTGAAAACTACTGAAATACTGCGTTCTTCAAATACAAATATGGATGCGCGTCTCTCCGCAGGCACTACAGTAACGGCCCTGAAATCCAGAGTTGTCTGTAATCTAAACGTTCACGATCAGGTTTTTTTTTACCTGCTGTTCCAAAGTCATGACTGTGTGCACTCTAAAGTTCCCGCTCTCGCAGGGGTCCGTGATTCCTACTGATCCAGGTAAGAAGAGACCAGCAGCCAGCATCTGTAGACAGCGCCTGCAAAACACACACAAAGCAACGCAGAGCTTAGACGCATGCGCCGGAAAAAGAGACAGTACACGAGTGAAACGGAGGTGAGATGAAGCCTGACCTGTAAGCTATGTTCAGAGAGAGGGGCTGCCTGGATGGGTTGTTCATCACTGCAGAGTGACCCTGTATCACAATCAGACACCAAGAGGTATTTAGGACTCAACAAGCGGTACTCAACAAGCGGTACATAAACTTTACAAAAACGAGCAAAAATACGAGTCTACTAACAATATGAAATCAGTGAGGTCATGTGATCAGCTAGCAAGACTCGTAGCTCGTGGCTTAGCTTTATTTAAATTTAAAAATGTATTGCACGGGTGGTCTTACCAGCAGGTCTAGAATCCAAGGAGTCAGGGGTTCAAATCCAGGAAAGCGCAGCCTCAGATCTTTCAGCAAGCGAATCAACACTTTCACTCTGCAGATCACATGATGTGTTCACATTAAATCACACACAATGTCTGTTTATAAAAAAACTTTTAAAAACCCTGCTCTGGTGGCTTCCTTACGTTGACTGAGATGCGTTCTCCTCAAACCAGCGAGCATGACGGATCGCAGCAAGGGCGCTCTGCAAAACCTTGATGTCCACTGAAGGGAAGAGAAAAAAAAAAAAAAAACAGATTTTAAAACATTAAGTCCACCCCTGAGAGTGCTGCTGCAGTGAAATTATTTCAATCATTTCTGATCAGAACACTCATTTACATCAGGGGTGCCAAACTTATGGCCGCCGGGCCAAAACTGGCCCACTTGGGAGTTCAATACGGCCGAGTTGATTAATGTTGAAAGTCAAAGATTGCGCAAACACTGCATACTAGTGATGTTTTGTCAGATATTTCATTATATATACATTTAAAAATATATATATATATATTTCTACTGATTTGCATGAAAACAAAGCAGAAAAACATTGATCAATTGGTATTTATAGGTACCGTATTTTCCGGACTATAAGTCGCACTTTGCGACCCATACTATAATGTTTATTATTTTAACACTGACCACCGCTAGGTTTGTGGCACTCTAGGTTTGTGTACCAGTATCTGCTATTACTGTATCACTTTTTGCCGATATCAACTTTTTGCCGATATCCGATATTTTGCCGATATCAACTTTATGCCGATATTATCGGAGGAAATACCGATAACGATTCTTACAGACATTACATATCTATGCTGATAATATCGGATGTCCCTAGTTTATTTATTTAATTTACGTCAGAGCTTTAGAGGTGACCAGAACAAATATATAACCAGACTATGTAGTGTTTTGTCGGGGGTGGGGGGGTTTTCCCGTACAGTGCAGCTCGGGGTCCAGTTTTCGCAGGTTGGGTGGAACAGTGGTGATGAGGATCTTGACGGTGGCATCAGCGGAGCTGATTTCGAAGCCCGTTTCGTTAGTCAGCATGGACAGCACTGAAAGGAACAGAGACAGAGTTAAGTGAGACACATGTTACATGTTCAACTTTTGCATCCTGACTGCTCAACAAATACCATTTCAATGTGTCATCTCAACATATGCAAGGACACCTAAAGGGGTTTTACCTTCACTTGGGTCCTGTGTACGCAGGGTCTCCACGACTTTGTTGCCGAGTGCGGCAACTGCCTCCACTGTCAGGACAAAAAAACAAAAAAAAAAAACAAAACACGGGTATTGATGTGGTATTTTGTTTCTGATCAGTCTGCAGACACAAACTGGAGAGTGACTGTTCATTATTGGGTGGGTTCCCTGTGTAGTGCAGTGGTTCCCAACTTTTTTTTTTGGCTGTTGACTATCTTGGCATCACAAATTTCTGGCAACCCCAGCGACATTTTTTTCTTCTAGAGTTAGTTTTTGATCCTGTTTGTTATATTATGTTCTAAATACAGAGCAGCCAGATTTTTTTATGGTTGTTTTCTACGGATGGGAAGTTTGTGTTTAGACCAGGCATGGGCAAACTAAGGCCCGGGGGCCGGATGCGGCCCGTTCAGCTTTTCAATCCGGCCCGCCAAACTTCTCCAAATTATATAAATTATTCTTATTCTTCTGCCTTTTCCCTGCAATACCCACATTTCCCCAATAGATGGCGCACTGAAAATGATAAAAGCATTTTCACATTTTAACCTTTATGCACGACTTTTACATGTCATTTATCTTAGTTCACACAAACGCTCCATCTATCTGCTCCTTGAATTTCAGGTGACCACATGTGTGGTCGCGACCCCGAGGTTGAAAACCACTGCTATACAGTTTGACAGGATATGTTGCTCACTCACAAGTGGGAAGAATCTTCAGTATTACAACCAGGTCAGCGACATTGTGTCCTGTTGTCATGGTGCCCTTTTTGTAAGAGCCGACCTGTCGCACCTCCTCGATTTGCTACAGAAGAGACACCGGTTCTGTTATTTTTAAGAACATTGTCACAACTAAAATAAACAATTAAGAAAAAAAAAAAAGGTAATAATCCAGATCATCAGACGTAAATGTATAGCGTGTTGTGGTGACGTGTGAGAAACTAACCACTTCAAAGTTTCCGGGTGCAACAATCAGGTTGTCAATAACATTGTTGATCTTTGTGACCAGCGACAAGATAGAGGACTGAATACAGACAGAGACAAAGGTTCTGTAAATGGGAGAGAACTCTTCACCAAATACAACATCTGCTGGAAGAAGATCCAACACAGTACTGACCTGTTCTGCCTGCGTTGGACTCAGGTCCTGGTTTCTCTTTAGCAAACACTCACTGAAACCCGTCTCGTCTGGCGCGGGTTTCACTCGAGGGAATGCCATCTCACACTGGCGACAAACGAGTTTGTTTTAGCACCTGGTTGTAACAGGTGAACATCATATGTTCCTACACGTAACATAAACCCTGCTAAGACAAAGGGCTGACTGAGTGCTTCTTTTTACTTACCACATAAAAATCAAATGGTATGTGCGGAACAAATGGACGGTACCTAAACGGGAACGAAGCCGATGTAAGATTTGTCATTAAAAATGAAACAGAAATTTGAAGAAGAAAGAGAAATCAACGTTGCAACTGACATCATGTGCTGATCCTGACAATTTGATGGTGTATATCTATGACTAATGTTGGATGCGCCGAACATAGTGTACATACATATCCTGTATATCAACAGTAATCAATGAACACTTCATTAACCTATGTTAAATGGGTTTTTTTTTCGTCACTGCATTAATTCACATTATTTTAATTGTTAAAAAATATTTCAAAATAACAATATTATAATAATAACAACAACAATGTATTTTAGTGAAATACATGCATTGTTTCTTTCGATAATTGATTCAATACATATTTAACTGACATGATTTGCTGATCACCTGACAACTATGGTGGATATCATATAATGTTGGATGCACTGATTGCATTTGGTTAATATTACTATATATAAATATGGAGTGCATATGTATCAATAGTAATCAATTAACACTTCATTAACATAAGATTAAAATAACAATAACATAATTCGATAACAACAATATATCTTAGTGAAATATATTATATATACACATTTTGTGTACAAAATTGATCCTATACATATTTGACACTTTGCTAGTATTGAATTTGAGTATCATTTGTATCTTGAATAACTAAAGCACTACCTATCAGGACATCGTTGTGTCATGGATCCTTAGCAGATGGTCGTGCATGTATTAAAGATTACAGCGGGTCTAAACATGAACTCACCCCTGGACTAGTCCTCCTCGGGACCCGAATCGGCCTCCACGGCCCCTGCCCCGGTCTCCTCTGGAAAATTTGTAAACACAGTCACAAATACACACAATGATTATTTTGATGTTTTGTGCGTTATGTAGCCTCGCTCTTCCAGTATCTCCCATTGATAAGACTACAGAGCGTCCATTCATTTGTAGTCTTACACTTGCGCATCCATAAACCGTCTTCTCCAACGTATCACAGTAAACCAGTCGCCAAACTTTATGCATTTAGAGTTTGTTGTTATGACACACTTTGAACATATAATTGGGATTAATTTACTAAGCTTAATATATAGCTAGTTTGCATTCATCGATGAAACAAAGCATGTCGGTAGCTGACTAGCACAGCCGCTCGTCCAAACGGACGAACTCTCTGCACATACAAAACACCTAAAATACCACATTTAATAATTCAAATATTCATGTTAAAAATACGAACCGCATTGCGTACGACGTCTTGACAGTTTAATGAAGCAAAATTAAGGAGAAACGTTCACTGACTGGCAGTGACCAGCTACTACTTCCGCTTCCGCTTCTGCTTCTTTTTGTTCATGTTACGGGTAGCTAAAGCAAAGCACATCCTTTGCTACTACCATCTATCGTTCACCTCTGGGATTGTAGCTTTTGCAATAAGTTAGTGCTGGCTATCCGACAGGTTTGGAGACTTCTAAATAAAATAATTGGGATAAAATGTATATGTCTAAATGGTGTGATGAACATGATCATAAAGATTTTGTTGTTTAAGACTAAAATGTTGTAAAATATATTCCAAATATTGTCAACAATAATATACCAACATTTATTCTAACCGTTATATCTCACATTTCTCCACCTACAAAATTTCACAACCAGAGACCCCTACAACAACTTCCTGTTCATTTTTTTTTATTTTGACTTTTTCAAAGATACAGTCATTAACATATATTTCTGTAGAATTAAGAAATACTCACAGTTCTGATGGCTACCCAGACAGATGACAACTAAGCCAGTGGTAAAAATGACAGATTTTTTTTTTGTAGCATATATAGGTGTTTTTGACTTATGGTTAAAGTATATGCTGTGGCAAAAAGTGGAAGAACCATATATTCATATTTCTGCACCACCTGCTTTGGTTTGAAAGTGACTTTTAAATGTCTTTTTGTGAGTTTGTCATGGGAGAACAAAATTGGTCAAAAAGATGAGAAAGTGCAGTGAATACACCGTAGTTCATTTCCTAATGGCGTCGTACACTACAATATTACAGTAATATGCAGCTGACGTTACGTCAAACAAAGGTGGCTCAAATACATTATTTTAACACACTACAAAGAGCATATACTTTTTTTTTTTTTTACATTTTCCCCGAACATATTTTTCTGCCTGTTCCTCTGTTAGTTTATTTTCCGTGTATATACAGGTGTGGATTAACCATAATATCTATAGCATAAACCGACGTCACTAATTCTAGTGCTTCGTGTTATAAAAACATACTTTACTATACACTACAGAATGATACTGCTGGACCCACTACTGCGTTAACACTGCTGCTGTGCGCATGTCATAACAGATCTGACGTCAATAGTTCTGAAGACCGCGTGTTTTTACTGCGAAAATGGCTGTAAGTTATAATGCAAAGAAAAACCACGTTTGAATTGTTACTAAAAAGCCCGATCAAATTAACTCCCGTTTGTTCGCAGAGGGATAATATTTACTATATTTAAAATCTTAGAGTACAGTCAAGAGATGATTTCGGTGTAGACCAATCAGAATCAATTGGACTGTCTTGGTATTTAGAAGACATTCTGACCTCTCGTTCAAGACACTTCCTCAATAGGAAGGTCAGAGCTAATCTTGGGATCGATTTTAGATTGCTTTAAACACACTCAAAATGTCACGACAAGTGTAATGCAACTCAAACCAGTAAATATGCAACGCTATCATACCTGAATAATACAAAAAAAAAAATATATATATATTATGATGTACTCACCAGAAATAAATGTGTTGTGTGTTTAAAACGACTTGATGATATATTATGTTTGTAGCGTTAGCGATGCCTTCAAACAGCATTTTCACCGGAAACCTTAGCTGTTAAATGACTCATACGGTTGCTAGCCCACTACATGTCTTGATATCGTCCCTTCGGCAGCCACTTGATGAATATTCAAAGTACAAAAATTCATAAACACTTAATGTTTGTGAGGTTTTGTCAAGTAATATTTCATTAAATATTCGTATTTTCTAAAAAACATGTACTTACTTGCACGAAAACAAAGGGCGGAAAACGACAACATATTGTTATTTATGGGTAATTGTGTTATGATTGTACTGGTCCGGCCCACTTGAGAGCTGTCTAAAGCTCATTTTCAGCAAAGTCAGTGACGATAGCGTGTCAGTAACTTATACGTAAACATCTGAAAAACTGACACATCATTTTCCCACCTATTTTACCTAGCGTCGACATCTTCCTTGATAACTGTTCACCTGAGGTCTAACTCTAATAACAACGAGGGTCTGGAAGGAAAAGTTGTTGTCCGTATTTCATCTGTGTCTGACATGACATGGCACGACAGGAAGCAGTTTGCAGTGAGCTCAAACTCCCGTAGCACAGAGTCTATATCGGCTCCACCTGGGGCTCAGTGGGCGGAGTGGAGAGTTCCTCCAACTGCTCCGAATCTGGTTCAGTCACGACCACAGCTACCTGATGACACACAGATGATGAAGTGATGTTATGACGTAAACCAAACGGCCTTTAAATTGCTATTGAGTGGAGGTGTTTAGTTAGTAGGTTTTTAAATCTCATAGAAGGTTTAGTGGTAATCATTGCCATCATTATCAGGTTACCTGAGATGGTTCAGCTGCAGCCGGGGCAGCCTGAACAGCTGGAACAGCTGGTGGCCGAGTTTGTGGATAAACAGGTCTCTGGCTTCGAGTCTGCACACAAACACACACAAACACACACACACACAGCCACACGGGGGAATATAAATAACTGAAAGCCACTGTAAAACTACTCCCAGTAAAACAATTAGCGCTTTGCAAATTTTGAACAGCTTATATACTATGTTAAAATTAAAATTAAAATTAAAATTAAAATTAAAATTAAAATTAAAATTAAAATTAAATAAAATAAAATAAAATAAAATAAAATAAAATAAAATAAAATAAAATAAAATAATTTTTAAATGATATGATTTTCAGTTCAGTTCAAGTTATTTCAAAATAGTTTTCTAATAACATGCAATAAAAGTCTTAAATGCTACTTAACTATAACATTTAACACAATTGGTTTTGGAAAATTGGTTGTTGTTATTATTGTACAATAGAGCTTTAGTGTGTCACGGTTCACCTGAGCTCCACCAGCAGCGAGCACACTGAGTCCAAACAACATGGCTGTGATACAGATCAAGAGCTCGAGCACCAGAAAGATCACCAGGGTAACCAGGATGCCGTCGATCAGCAGCTGGGAAAAACAGAGAAATTCACACGGAGTCAACGGTGATGTCAACTGTGAATTCCACTTGGTGTAACTATGTACTATATCCTATCTGGCCAAAGTATTGGTTGTAGCAGTGTAGTTAGTCACTTACTTTACACCTTTGTTCGATCAGCCAGGTGCATTTCCTGAAACAATGTTGCTGCAGTGGACAGTAAAGAAAAAAGAAGAATGGAGTCTGCTTTTTCAAAACAGTTCGACAGCAATATCTGCCTTCTGTACATGTGCGGTCAGTGATTGCTACGTATTCTAGCATGAGGTATTTATTAACTGTTTTGAGTTGAATTACTCTGATTGCAATATCACAATGTACGGTGAGGTTTTACCTGTTTCGAGTTGAATTACTCTGATTGCAATATCACAATGTACGGTGATAGTTTGTGTCAGTGAACAGCCATGGAAAAGATCTGTATGAAATATGAGTGAAAGCAGCACAAGTCTCTGGGCTGCTCTGTGATTGGTCAATGTCTGCGTTGGATAGATAGATGGATGGATGGATGGATGGATGGCTGGATGGATGGTTGGATGGATAGATAGATAGATAGATAGATAGGTAGGTAGGTAACTAGATAGATAAATATCTAGATAGCTAGCTAGCTAGCTAGATAGATAGCAAACTAGATAGATAAATAGCTAGCTATATCTTACTAGATAGATAGATAGATAGCTAACTAGATAGATAAATAGCTAGCTAGCTTACTAGATAGATAGATAGATGGATAGATAGATAGATAGATAGATAGTTGGGATGAATATTCCAAAAGTCCACATGATATTTTATCTATGGGCCACAATTTTGGAATCCAGTTGCAGGTCGGATTGCACGGTTCACCCCTGCGTAGGCTCATTATTCAGCTTACATCTATAGTAATCAGTGCCCAAACTTGTGATATATACAATTTTTAGGAATGCAACTGCAAATATATTCCTGTCTTGCAAACATTGTTTCAGTCTTGCACCAGGCAAGACACACCAATTTTTTTTCCATCACTACTGCGTTTCACGTAAATAGCGGGACTTATTATATTTGATTCTGACAAATTTTAAACGCCATGCAATTCTAAGCAAACTACTGACGTTCCTGTTTCGAAAACAGTCTGTTAAAGCGACTGACGCGAAAGGGTTAAAGACGTACCACGGCGTGCAGCTCCAGCTTGCGGCAGTGTTCGCAGTGGTAAGAGCTCTGGCGGTAGGGCAGGTGTTTGGACATCAGGCCCAGGGCAGCGGTGGCAAATGCAGCACTGATAAGATGCAGCACCAGCATGCATTTCACCTGTGATGAGATTGAAATTCACAAATGTGTGTGTGTGGAAAATCATTTTGAATTTCAAATTAAATTCTTAAAAAAAAGACCCGTTACCTCTTAAAACCCTGTCTTGTATTAGAATGAATATTAGAATTGTAAAAGTACAAATGTATTAAAAGAAATCACTAAGCAAAACACCACTAAGATGCAGTGCATTTTTTTCACTTTCAACATTCATCAAGCGGGCCGCGTTGAACTCCCGAGCGGGCCGGTTTTGGTCCGCGGGCCGTATGTTTGACACTTCTGTTTCAGATGTTTGTTTAGTACATTTTTTTTGTGGTTTTTCTAAACATACATGGGGAAACTTTGCACAACATTTTTAAAAACAAGCCTATAGAGCCGTCTGTTGATGTAGCGAACTGCTCATTTAAAGTGTCTCTGAAGGAAAATGATCCACCGTAAGACGGTTAGTGGACGTACCCAGAAGAGAGTTGGTCTCCTCCCACTGTGCACCAACACTGAACCAGACAGCGTTACCTAGAATGAGGTAAAGGTTAAAAAATGGTAGCCGTTGGATAACGCCACACTAACTATCCCTTCCCACGCGTCTAACTGACCTGCACGACCACAACTAGGAAGAGGGCAATGTCTCCTGTGAAGTGGACCTCGTGGACCTGGAGCACAGAGGCACTGAGGCACAGAATCAAAGCCCCGATAACGATCTGGATCGCCTGATTTGAAAGACGGAAATAGAGAATTTTAATTAGAAAAATAAAAACAGACTTTTTTTTTTTTACACTGTGCTATTGATCAGAAGTTTTCTGTTCTAGACAAACAGGAAGAACTAGGGATAACAGGTAGGGATGTCTGATATTAACATTTTGTCGATATCCGATATATATGTCCAAACACTTAATTTCCGATTCCGATAGCAACCGATACCGATATAGGCCTGGTAATATTTATTTTGTTTATCTGTACAAACCATTGTAGGAGTTGCTGGCCCCAGCGTTCTACATAAACTCGGGTGATTATTAAATAGATTTATTAATATGTATTTAATTGTTTTTTATTTATATTGTATTTATTAATATTTTAATAATATTAAAAATGGCTGCAATGCTGCCATCTAGTGATTTTAACTTTAATATACAGCTGATTATCCACCAAACTATTTTTAGGGCACACGTCATTTGACAAAACCCAGGCGTTGCGTTATCGGGTCTTCATTATCGGAGGAAAAACCTACGACGATTCTTACTGTTATTACGTAATTATGCTAATATCGGGCCGATAACATTTATCGGCGGATATTATCAGACATCCCTAATAATAGATTTAAAAAAAAAAGTGGAACCATGGGGGAAATTTTTCATGGCTCACCCCCAGAGTCTTGGGCTCCATCTTCAGGAGGGACTGCAGTTGACCCGGAGAAAGGTTCCCCACCACCGGGACTGGGTCTTTATCATTGTGAGCCATCGTGATGCTGGAGGATGGAGAGAAGTATTGCAGTGGATGGAAGGGGGTTGTCTGTGTAAAAACAGTGAAGAGATGATGTCGCAAACTTTTCCTTTAAGAAGAACCGCACATACAGAGAGGGAGACGGAGAGAGAGGTCACGTATGTTGCGTCACTAGTCACCAGGTGTTCCCTCGTTTAGCTAACCACAATCAACTTGATTGAACAGTCAGATGTGACGCTGACGAGTCTCGTCTCGCTGTTAACTAACCTACAGTACGTACACTCACAGCAGTGGACCGGTGACCGGGGTCATGTCCAGGCCGCGGGCTGCAGTCCGACTCCCACCTCTGACACAGCAGATGATGACAGTGCAGACATGCGGACACACGCGCGCGCGAGGACTGTTACTGACGCACTGAGTTAAAGTCGAGTTATTGCGATGCACCTGCTGCGGAGAAATGCCTGGACTCTCCTCCGCAGTGCACTGGCTGGGTTCCAACAACGGGCCGTCACACACAGCACACGAGCAGAACACGAAACGCCCCGTACGTGACGCTGACCGCTGACCGCACAGTGACGACCAAAAACAAACAAAGTGACACTAAGGTTCTCTTCACCTTGCGCTCCAGACTGCTGCTGCTGCTGCTGCTGCTGCGGGACACGACGCAGTTGGAGACGCAATTTTTAGGAATGCAACTGCAAATATATTCCTGTCTTGCAAACATTGTTTCAGTCTTGCACCAGGCAAGACACACCAATTTTTTTTCCATCACTACTGCGTTTCACGTAAATAGCGGGACTTATTATATTTGATTCTGACAAATTTTAAACGCCATGCAATTCTAAGCAAACTACTGACGTTCCTGTTTCGAAAACAGTCTGTTAAAGCGACTGACGCGAAAGGGTTAAAGACGTACCACGGCGTGCAGCTCCAGCTTGCGGCAGTGTTCGCAGTGGTAAGAGCTCTGGCGGTAGGGCAGGTGTTTGGACATCAGGCCCAGGGCAGCGGTGGCAAATGCAGCACTGATAAGATGCAGCACCAGCATGCATTTCACCTGTGATGAGATTGAAATTCACAAATGTGTGTGTGTGGAAAATCATTTTGAATTTCAAATTAAATTCTTAAAAAAAAGACCCGTTACCTCTTAAAACCCTGTCTTGTATTAGAATGAATATTAGAATTGTAAAAGTACAAATGTATTAAAAGAAATCACTAAGCAAAACACCACTAAGATGCAGTGCATTTTTTTCACTTTCAACATTCATCAAGCGGGCCGCGTTGAACTCCCGAGCGGGCCGGTTTTGGTCCGCGGGCCGTATGTTTGACACTTCTGTTTCAGATGTTTGTTTAGTACATTTTTTTTGTGGTTTTTCTAAACATACATGGGGAAACTTTGCACAACATTTTTAAAAACAAGCCTATAGAGCCGTCTGTTGATGTAGCGAACTGCTCATTTAAAGTGTCTCTGAAGGAAAATGATCCACCGTAAGACGGTTAGTGGACGTACCCAGAAGAGAGTTGGTCTCCTCCCACTGTGCACCAACACTGAACCAGACAGCGTTACCTAGAATGAGGTAAAGGTTAAAAAATGGTAGCCGTTGGATAACGCCACACTAACTATCCCTTCCCACGCGTCTAACTGACCTGCACGACCACAACTAGGAAGAGGGCAATGTCTCCTGTGAAGTGGACCTCGTGGACCTGGAGCACAGAGGCACTGAGGCACAGAATCAAAGCCCCGATAACGATCTGGATCGCCTGATTTGAAAGACGGAAATAGAGAATTTTAATTAGAAAAATAAAAACAGACTTTTTTTTTTTTACACTGTGCTATTGATCAGAAGTTTTCTGTTCTAGACAAACAGGAAGAACTAGGGATAACAGGTAGGGATGTCTGATATTAACATTTTGTCGATATCCGATATATATGTCCAAACACTTAATTTCCGATTCCGATAGCAACCGATACCGATATAGGCCTGGTAATATTTATTTTGTTTATCTGTACAAACCATTGTAGGAGTTGCTGGCCCCAGCGTTCTACATAAACTCGGGTGATTATTAAATAGATTTATTAATATGTATTTAATTGTTTTTTATTTATATTGTATTTATTAATATTTTAATAATATTAAAAATGGCTGCAATGCTGCCATCTAGTGATTTTAACTTTAATATACAGCTGATTATCCACCAAACTATTTTTAGGGCACACGTCATTTGACAAAACCCAGGCGTTGCGTTATCGGGTCTTCATTATCGGAGGAAAAACCTACGACGATTCTTACTGTTATTACGTAATTATGCTAATATCGGGCCGATAACATTTATCGGCGGATATTATCAGACATCCCTAATAATAGATTTAAAAAAAAAAGTGGAACCATGGGGGAAATTTTTCATGGCTCACCCCCAGAGTCTTGGGCTCCATCTTCAGGAGGGACTGCAGTTGACCCGGAGAAAGGTTCCCCACCACCGGGACTGGGTCTTTATCATTGTGAGCCATCGTGATGCTGGAGGATGGAGAGAAGTATTGCAGTGGATGGAAGGGGGTTGTCTGTGTAAAAACAGTGAAGAGATGATGTCGCAAACTTTTCCTTTAAGAAGAACCGCACATACAGAGAGGGAGACGGAGAGAGAGGTCACGTATGTTGCGTCACTAGTCACCAGGTGTTCCCTCGTTTAGCTAACCACAATCAACTTGATTGAACAGTCAGATGTGACGCTGACGAGTCTCGTCTCGCTGTTAACTAACCTACAGTACGTACACTCACAGCAGTGGACCGGTGACCGGGGTCATGTCCAGGCCGCGGGCTGCAGTCCGACTCCCACCTCTGACACAGCAGATGATGACAGTGCAGACATGCAGACATGCGGACACACGCGCGCGCTCGTGCGCGTGCCAGGACTGTTACTGACGCACTGAGTTAAAGTCGAGTTATTGCGATGCACCTGCTGCGGAGAAATGCCTGGACTCTCCTCCGCAGTGCACTGGCTGGGTTCCAACAACGGGCCGTCACACACAGCACACGAGCAGAACACGAAACGTCCCGTACGTGACGCTGACCGCTGACCGCACAGTGACGACCAAAAACAAACAAAGTGACACTAAGGTTCTCTTCACCTTGCGCTCCAGACTGCTGCTGCTGCTGCTGCTGCTGCGGGACACGACGCAGTTGAAGACGGTCTTACCTGCTCGGTGTTGTCCTGCAGCCGTGCTCCTCACTTTCGCTTCGTCCTGCGTGAGTTCTGTGAAGGAGCACAGCTGATGCTGCAGATGCTGCTGACTGTGTGTGTGTGTGTGTGAGTGAGTGTGTGGCTGCTCAGCTCTCTGCTGCAGCAGGGTGTGTTCAGGACAGAAGATGGGCTCACTGCACCAAACACACTGCTTCCACTGCTGCTGATCACACTGTTATTTTTTTTTTTTTTGGAGACTTCCTGTGTAGGGTTAGGATTGGGCAAACATTGTAGAGAAAAGACTTGATATCTGTAGGTGATCCTAAAACAGTCTGCACTAAATGTTATTTTAGAATTCACGGAAAGTTCTTCGCAGCATCAGAGGAAGTTGTCTCTTCAGATGTTTTGCTCTGTTTTTAAGATTGTTGTTCGGACATGACTTGCCTCCAGATCCTCCAAAAGCTTATTTAACATTTAACTGTACCAGCGGCTAACAAGAGGGAATGACGACCTCGCAACGAAAAGCCAGGATTCTTGACATGGGACAACAGCGAGAAAACCACCGCCTCAACGGCCTGATCAACAGCTGTATTTATAGTAACAAGTTCACCTGTTTAACAGACATTAAAGCAATAAAGCAGTGTCATCCATCAATGTGCAACGTATCAGTCAGTTACCAGATCTAAAAGATAGGAAACATATTAGCTGCGGTTACAAAAAAAAAAAAATTCAATCTGAACATCATCAAATGATGGTTTCTTTATAGTTCAGTCCAGCATTTTTTGACCTTGGGGTCACGACCCCAAATGGAGTCTCCTGATAAAAGCGTCTGCTAAATGTTATGTAATGTAATGTAGATTCTGGGGACGCCAAGAATTTGTGGGGGTCAGAGGTCATAAACCACCTGGTTTGGTCACAGAAGAAAACTAAACCACCAAGGAAAAAGCAAATCATCTAGTCATTTTCTTTCAACGCTTGAGCAAATGTGGTCCAGCCGAAAAAAAAAAAAATTAAAAAAAATAAATATAAATATATATATATATATATGAGCAGTGGTTTGTTGTTGTACAAAAATAATTACCATTTAATAATTAACACATTTTGTGAGAATAATTAAATAAATATAATAAATAAATAAATAATGTTACCAAAATCCCGTCAGTTTTGAAAAAAGGTTATGAAAACGGTTTGATTTTACATCCTTATGAGTTATTATTATTTCAGAGGTAAAACGAAACTGCTTTTGACCACCAGACGGAGCCAAAAACCTTACTCTGGTTGTCATCGTGTCGGTCAGCGCCGCCCCTTGCAAAAAAAAAAAAAAAAAAAAAAAAAAAAAAAAACCCCTGACATATTCTGAACGGTCAAAGGAAAATGAGCTGAAAATAGACATAATGAAGACTGTAGGAAACTGTCATCCGATACAATCCAACCCAACAGAGAAGGAACACTGCAGTCTAAGCCTCTATGTTATTTGAACTACATGTCTATAGCGCAGGTCTTAGTTTTATATAGACATGTGACCTTCAGAAAAGAACCAGCGTCTGGGTGTTTAGACCTGTGTCATTCAGAGAAAAAGACGAGACTATTATCACGACACCCTGATATTTTACCTCCTCAAAATAAAGATATAAGCTTTATTTTGGTTAACAAATCATTACTACCAACCCAATTCTTATTATCTAAATTATAGATAACAATAATTATTATTATCTAAAGCTTTAATGATTTAACAACGACAACAGACTTTGGCCTCTGATTCTTTTTTTTTTTTTTTTTTTTGCGTGTGACATGGGTCAATTTGTGCACAGTCAGCAAATCCTCTTCTTGTTGAAACAGCTGTCCAAGTGTTGTGTTACGAAACGAAAAATGTGCCCTCACAAATCCCGGCTCCGAGGAGGCTTTGTTCAGACTCGAACATTCTACTCAAAGGTCACGGTTCTTTGTACGTACAAAATAAACAAATTAGGGTTATATAAGTGTTATAATGGAAGTTTGGGACATTCGCTAACTGCCGACGGAGGGTTTCCTGTTGTCAGTGACTGTACTTATAAATGTCAACTTTGAATTAAAAAAAAAAAAAAAAGCTCAAATACTTTCAGTGTCCACAAACTGTTGCACTTCCATACAGTATTCATATATATTTTTTATACACAGGACCGTGGTAGCATACTTGTTTTGGGCCATATTCCAAATCTTTGGTGGGCCAAAGTTGGTCCGGGAGCCTTACTTTGAGCAGACTCTATTAATATGGACTTCAACAGACCACATCAGTGAACACTAGAAGCCTGTTTTGCGATCTCTCTTTCATTTTCTCTCACTCGTGACTGAGCAACATTCTTCGGAGGGCAATAAAAAAAACACCATGTGACTCGCAAAAACCAAAACCATATGGAGCGAGTTACAGCATCAGGACCTGTGTGCAAAACACTCTCTCACAGGTCTCATGACGTGGAGACCGCTTCTTGACATGTGTATCAAAATATATATATATTTTTTTATTTGAAATATTTCTCACAGATCACCGTGTGATATTCAATGACACGCAGCGTGGCACCATTTCAGTATCACAGCAGAGGGCAGGATGTTTGGCAACGACGATCAAACAAATTCTATCATAGACTTTTAACCTTATGACCTCAAATAGCGACAAAAAAAAAAAGCTGTAACACCCAGCTCGACAAAGAGCTAATTCTTTATGTCTGTGCAGTTCTCAATTATCCAAGTCATGCTCCTTTCAATCATGTGAGTAGGTTCACTTATTGACAATGCTTTCCTGGACCATTGTAAACCCTGATGACATACGTTATCGAACCATGTGTCAGAGGAGTAAACCAACGCCAACCAACGCCAACCAAACAGAAGTTTGCTGTTGCCTCAGTTGGCAACTTTACGACTCTTTGAAAGAATAATTCAAAAATCACAGGTGGAAAGTAATGGATTACATTTACTCACATTACTGTAATTAAGTAGTTTTTTGTGGGTAATTTGTAATCTTTTAAGTAGTTTTGGGAATCGGTCATTTTCTCTTGAGTACATTTTGACTCAAGTATTTCGCTTGAGGCAATAGCTTTATCATGCAACGCAGAATGTGCCTGCCCCCGGTGGACAGAGCTGCCACCGTCAAAACGTAAGTGTTCAAATTCTCAATTTCTGTCATTTGTATTTGAATTGTTGATTAAAAACAACTAGCTGCAAAACCGGATGCATGACCCGTCCTTTTTGGCAACAAGTCATTTGTAGTAACTTTTGCTTTTACTTGAGTAGAATTTAAGCAAAGTAAAGATACTTTTACTTAATTACATTGTTAGTGCCTTTTTCCACCTCCGTCAAATACCCCCCAAAAAACAACACAATTCTTGCCGTGGTGGCCGACAAAATACCCCAAAAAAAAAACAACACAATTCTTGCCGTGGTGGCAACAGCGTAAATAATCGGCTGCCATTTTAAATGACCAATTTACCAGGTTGCGGAAGGTGAGCAGTTTAACGACATAGACTAGACACAGACTTGTTTTCCATTTCTAGATGCTCTTGCAATATTGTTGCAAGTGGTAAGCTTTTCTAAGTAAACTAGACACTGTTGTGTGTTTTCATTTCGGTCTCAGAAACAGCTAGATTAACCTGGATTTTGCACAGGACACCAAACCCGTTTCCCTATGTCTTTGGATGAAGTCGCTAACCGAAGAACTGCTTCGCAAAAAAAAGCAACAAAGGTGGTCAAATGTATATGACTTTCACAGTACAACAATGCCAGATTAAATCTAGATGTATGTTGCAAAGTACTTGTATTGATATTTTGTGCAAAAAAAAAAAAAAAAAGTAAAATAAAGAGTCTAAAAATCAGTCCTCCTAGGTTAGCCTTTGCTAACAGCTGGGCGGTGTTTACTTCTACAGGCAGACTCAGTCCATGTTGGAGCTTTTAACATCAGTGCAATGTACTGAAAACATCTGGCTTCAACCACCAAAAAAATAACCTTGTCTTTCTACTGTTTTGATGATCCCGCAGCCATTTAATAAATAAAAGCTTCGCAACTGTTTAGACAGCAGCAGGGGGCGCTTGTTCGGTTTAAGAATACTGATGCAGAAAACGTGTCATTATCAACATAACGAAACGCAAAAACTCTTTTTTTCTTTAATTCTGATCCTCCGCTCTGGTTCATTTCAGTGGAACGAATGTGATTCCATTAAAAAAATAAAAGACACCAAACTGTTGCAGTCACAGAAGCATCAACCACGGGCTAGTCTATAAAATACCCACACACTCGTCTGTATTTGACCAGATCTAATCAGTCAAACATTCAGAACATTTACAGTATGTTCCACAGAAAGTTTCAGCCCTGGGCCGATCTGTAGCACTTCAAGAGTGGGAGACGGGTCAGATGGGCGTGTTCGGCAAATGTCCGTTACCTTCCGTCAGTGCTCCGTTGCAGCCCGACCCACAGGCCTGTCCACTGTGCGGACTGTGTCTGTTGCTTTTATTAAACAGCTGGTTCCTCCTCGGGGCCTCGTGCTCCACGGGAGTTCTTCTGTCTGAGTTTCTGCTTGGGGTAGCTGTGTGAGGAACCGTTCGGCTGCGGCAGTGCAGTCTGACCACGTACAGGAACATCGTGATGGTCAGACTGATGCAGAGCACCAGCAGCACAGACACGACCACCAGCTCTTTGAGATAACAGGGCTCTCGGGCCGAGTGCAGCAGCTCTCCTCCGACAAAGTCTGTCTCCGTCTGCCCAGGTTCCGGGGTCCAAACGGTCAAGTTCAAGCCTCGCTGCGTGGGAACAGGTGTGGTGTCCATACTGGACACGGTTGGCTCAATGTCTCCTTGCATTGTTTTTTTTAGTAAAGGCCAAAACTCAAAGGAGTGCAGGCCAGGACTAGGACTTGGCGCTGCCTGTGTTTTGGCTGCGGTTAGCGTCTGAAGAGCCGTGTAGCTGCTGGTAGTTTGGACAAGCGGGCCACTCTTCTGTTTGACGTGATAGATGGCCATAGTTTGCTGGTAGCCGTTCTCAATGGAAAGGCAGAGGTAGTGGCCGAGAGTGGCGGGCGTTGCCACAAAGCTCAGGCCCCCGTCCCCCAGGTGCAAGTACAGGTCTGAGGACAGTTGACTGTTGGGACGCTCCCACAGCTGCTGGGACAGATGGGAAGCCGCAGGACACCGTAGCCGCACCACCTCGTTCAGAGCCACTGACACTAACTCACCTGCAGGGCATGAAAGATACATGATTTCAAACAGACCAAAACCAAATACAGGGGGGTCCTCGACAGACGGTGGAGTTTCATTCTTACGGCATCCTGTACGTAAGTGTTTGTCACTCTGACGTGGTATGTTTCAGATTTACTCAACTGAAAATGTAAATGTGAAAATATGATATTTCCCCTGCGTACCACTAGAGGGCGCCACAGTTTGAGAACCACTGATCTAGGACATAAAAACATCAGAAGAGTATGACTTACGGGGAGCCATAATGAAAGACAAAAGTTCCAAAAAAAACAAAACAACGCAAACCAAAGTCAGTGAATGTAGCAATCCAATGCGTGGCGTACAACCGGCAAATGTAAACAAAGTCTTCTTTCGTGTACAGCGCCGCTAGGAACATATTCGACCACTCCGCTAGTTCCGGAGAGTGAAACTTGTTTTGATGAAGTACGTCAGACGGCAATTTACGAAGACTTTCTTCAGTAATTTATGCGAGATGGCGACGAAACCGCATAACACCGCGAGTTGAGAATATCGTAAAAACCAAGGACCCCCTATAAACGCAGAAAAAGTGCTCTACACTTGTGCTACCAGTCCTTTCTTATTAGAATGTGAATCAGAAATACTGACTTCATCTCTGGTGGGGGCGCCATGTGGATAAAGTATTACTCGAAAAAGCAAGATACACAGTATATACTAGGTGTAGGAATTGCAAAAAATACATTGATTAATAATTAGAATTCTTGTGTTAACAGCAGATCTGCTACAACAGTATGTAAGTATGTGGTTCCTCTAGGAATTGAACCCAGGACTACCTGCTCCCTGCTTCTGAGGCAGGCATGCTAACCTGAACGCATGCTAACTCAATAAAATCAGTATCTTTTGTGGGTATAAATGTAAGAGAGTGCTGTCAAAATAGGACTAAACGAGGGCGTTTTAGTTAGAACTATTAGCTAGAACTATCGCCACCTACCTGCAGACACTTCGTTGGGATCAAACCTGACTCTGTTTGTGAATGTACCACGGTCGCACGTTTCTTTGACGTTTCCTGTGTCTACGTCTTGCGCTCTGTGAAGCACAGAAAAAAAAAAAAAAAAAAAAAGATTCAGTTAATTAAGAAATGCTCAATCAATAGGCAACATTTTTGCCCCTAAAAATTGTAAAAATGTTTTTGAACTCACAGACTGATCTGAGTGTTGGAGGTCTCAACGCATGTCCTGCTGACAGTGTCCCAGCCACAGAAGGGGTCTCGGGCCAGGACGCACTGAGCACAGGTCCAATAAAAAGAGCAGTTTGCTGTTGGGACCCTCATCACGCCTTCCGATGTGCCCACATAGATCATACCCTGCAGTGAGACAGGACACCATCACCATCAGTCTTTTAGGTTTGGTAACTGCGTATTCCAATCGTGTCCATCCTGGTCGCTCCCGATGAGAATCACATCCTGGATCAAAGCCACTACCAGCAGTAACAGTTACATATACAACATTGATATTGTTTACAAATCAAGAAACTCGATCCAATCATTCGCATTTGCCTTAGAGAGAGGTGACTGGCCAGGGGATATGGAAGAAATTACTTTATGACTGACCCTTTCATCACCTGACCCCATCATACACTTCTGCTGGTCTACCTTAAGTGACTGCGAAATAGCCTTTGTCTTTGAACAACTGGGGCTAATACAGAGATTTGATTTGTAGTGACTTAATTTTGCAGCAGGTCAAATTTATTTAATTAGTATTATTTTTCTTTATTTGTGCCACAGTTGGAAACACTTAATGAAGTGTAAATTAATCATTCTTTTTACCGAATATAAAAAACAAAAAACAATTCAGTTCAAAAATTGTTAAAAATTTGAATATGCAATACATTGTAGGTACTGTATGGATCGGTTCTGTGTATGTATTTATTCTATGTTTATTATATGTATATACTGTATATATATATGTATGCATATATGTATGTATATATGTATATATGTGTGTATATATTTATGTATATATGTATGTATATACAGGATGTATGTATGTATATATGTATGTATGTATCGATTCTATGTATGGATGGACTCTATGTATCGATTCTCCAGTAGAACCTAGTCGTACTTTACCTTGGGTATAGACAACTTCAGGCTTTTGACGGGCTGAGGCTGCTCAAACACCTGGACCTCTTCAACGATGTGGGCCCCGCTCTGCAGCACCACTGCTTTGTGGAGGTAACCAGACTCTGGGGGAAGAAGACAATGGGAAACAAAGTGTATTTATTAAAATGTGTCAAAAACTTAATGCGGTGATGTCACACCTTTCTGAATATGCACGGAAGAAACTACAGTGTTCGTGTATTTTGCATCATGATGTCATCAGGAATATTGTGCTACAGCCGGTTGTGACTGTAAGGCTGTATATCTGTATAACTACTCCATAACATGTTTTTTGATGATTATTTATTCAAGTTAGAAATATTGTGAATTGCTCTGCGTAATATTTGTTATCAAGTTAGGAACTCAGCAACATGGACTTTATTTTAAGGCAAATAAACACTGTTTAAGCTGCCGCGGGCCACGAAAAATGACTTGGCGGCCCACATTTGGCCCGCGGGCCTTGGGTTGGATGTTATTAACAATACTAGCCAGTAATAGAAAGTATTGTGGAATGAATCCCCAATCATTGTAACAAGTCAGTTACGTTGTATCAAATACACAACGTGGCCCACCTGTGAGTAGAAAGAGAACGGTGTAGTTTTTGTTGTTGGCAGCCTGGACTCTCTGAGCTGTCAGATGACTGTACTTGTAGCCGGTAGACACCATGGTCAAATGCCTGTCAATGGGCCTGACGCTGTCGTCTGCCAGGAAGTTCTCTTTGATAAAGCGCAGGGCGTTATCAGAAGCATTGTGCAGTCCACACTTACAAAAGGGACAAAAAAAAAAAATAGAAAGGCTTTATTGCATAATGACTCATTTAAAAACATGAAGAATAACAACAACTGGCACTGAAGATGGTATATTTATAATTTTTTTTATGTAGTGTGTAAAACAGCAGTTGGTCGGTAAAAGGAAAATGAAACACGTTTTAGACCAAATCAATTAAATGTAAATTTAAATTTTCTGGTAGTAGACATTGCACATACTAATGTCCTGTAGTTTGTTAACGTCACACCATCTACTGCTGACAAAATACTGTCAAACCCAACACTTAATATCACACTTTGTCAGTTACACATTTATCAGATCTAACTCCAACGACAGATGAGATGAACCTCTACTTCAGTTTAGAATCCCGAGAGTCTGCTGTAAGCAATGTCATCTGAATGACAAATAAACAAAGCCTTAGTCTAAGAAAACGTCGATCTATAACCAAAGAGCCTTTTCTGAAGTAAATGTCCGGATTTTAAACCAAAACCTAAAGTAAAATATAATAGTAAAATGTGGAAAAAAAGACGGCAGATCGCTCTTGTGTTTTTACAGAAATCAGACTGACTAATTACCTCTCCTGGATTTGCAACCTTCTCCTGAACACGTGTGCTCCACTGTAAGGTGTCCCGGTTCAGGACCTTGTAGTTCCCAGAGAAAACCGCTCTGATGTCGCTCAGGCGGAAGGAACAGACTGCTGAGTGCCCTGAGTTAACAGACCTGGTGAAAGACAGAGTGTGATCACAGATAGATAGACAGATAGACAGACAGAATATATATATAAAGAAATGCAGTGAAAATGTATATATTTTATGTGTTTCGAAGTTACCGACTCCTGGTTATAATAGGGAGATGATGTCACAGCTAAAATAAGATGATTTGTTTTTATTATGCTACAGCAAAATAAAAATACTAGCTGGTGTAAATTCTTCTTGGACACAGTTTCATTTTTACCATTTAGACCACATGTGTCAAACTCAAGGCCCGGGGGCCAAATGTGGCCCGCCAAGTCATTTTCTATGGTCCATGTTTTCTTAAAAAGCATTGATTCCATGTGGCTGCGTTTCTTAACCTGATAACTTAAAACGTTTTTTTTTTAATTACACCGAGCAATGAACAATATTTGTAACTTATTTAAATAATAATCAATTGCAGAAACATTTATGAATATGTTATGGAGTAGTTACATCTATACAGTATTACAGTAACTAGGAACTGTATTGCTGATGTGACTCACTGGTGGAAATTAGTTTGACATTAGTTTGAAAAAAATGAGCTTGAAATTGCATTCGCTGGTAACAATAGACCAAATGACGCATCTATTGCTCGTTGGAAAATACATAAGAAAGTATACAGTAAAACTACAATTATTAATAATTGTTAGAATCGACCAACAAGTTAACAGACTTCAATGATTGCTTCTTCTTGCACCTTCTCTTCTCTCTTTCGTAGGATACCAAGTCTTATTTTACTTACCACTGTGAGGTGAAGATGCCATAAAACAATGTCTCATCTGCAGGCACTCCCTCTGCTGGCGGCAGGGTGTCGATATCTTGTAACACATTGTAAGGAAGCTCATTATCAGCCTGGCACAGCAGCTGTGCTTTGGCAAAGGTCGTCCAACGTCGCTGCAGGGTGCGTTGACCGCCAACATCACTCTGTCCAACAGAGGAGAACAGGATATTTGCTTAATCAAGATAGTGTGTTATCACACCACAAAACCCACTGTGGGTTTCTGCTGTTTTCCTTGGCATATGTTCATCAAGGATATCACACTGCTGAAAATGTACTGTAGTTCTGGTGAAACAAAGAAATCCAGAGACGAAGGAGCCTCAAGAAACTCTTTGTTTTTCCAGAAAACAAAAAAAAAGCAATGAAACTTGCATTAGACTTGCTGCTAGAAGGGTGTTTCAGAGGTTGAGGCGGGACATGACCATGGTCTCTACTAGAGGCTAGTTAGCCTGAGATTCGTGCTGAGACTGCAGAGTCATCAGGTGGGAATGACAGATACAGCTGGGTATCATCAGCATAGCGGTGACATGAGAAACCATGTGATACACAGCGAGGGAAAATTGGGGGCAGCACTGAGCCTTGCGGGACCCCTGGTTATTGAAAGGTGGCGAAACATAAAGTAAGATGTTCCGTAATGCTAACAAGCATTGATTTGGGTCTTAGTTAGCATTCAAAACAGCACTGTTTTGGCAGGATGACATTCTGTATTTGGTAAACGTGGCTGTTTGCACGCATTAATCTAATGCTGTGCCAGCAGAAGTTCAACCTAGGTTGCACTCTGTGATTTATTTTATCAGTTCCCTCTTCAGTTTTGGCTTAAAACAATCAGTCTATTACCTTTTGTACAAGCGTTACATTAAGTTCATCCTTACCATGCAGATCTGGGAAACCCGAGACACGATAAACTTGTCTATGAAGTCATACTCTCTGCCCACTTCACTGAAGAAGAAGTAGATCTTCTCCTCATCAGGAATGTAACTGGAACTGATGAAGGTTGGATCTACAGCAAAGTTTGTAGAAGATGAAGACGTTACGACCTCTTTTTTTAGAGCGGCACAAAAAACAGTAACAGTTTGTTCATGGAAACAACAATCATTAAGAGTCTGAAATGAAAATGAAAAGCTTCTGAAGGTTGAACAATAATTCGGGACTGTAGTTAACTGTGGAACATATTTTAAAGTTTAAACCAGTTAATTGTGGAACATATTTTAAAGTTTAAACCAGGGATGTCAAACATACGGCCCGAGGGCCAAAAGCGGCCCACCTGGGGGGTCATTTCGGCCGACTTCATACAATTGTAAAGCAAAAAAAGCACAAATGTCCAACTTATAATTAATTATAATTAGAAAAAATAACAACTGAAAATAAAAAATAAAAGAGACTTTATTGTCAAAATTAAGAGACCTGGTGAAGAGCATGGATTTGATGTACAGTGCAGTGTTTAATATGTGCCGCTGAAAAAAGGGAGACTTACCTTCCAGCCATCCTAATGTATCGTCCAACTTCAGATCAACACGCCTGCTTTCACTGAGGTGCCGGGAGATGACGGGTCTATTCCCTCTGTAGTCTGCCACTGTACCGGTATAAAGCTCCCCATCTGGCAACATGAAAGAAATCAAAGCAAATCTGTATCCCAGCTCATACTTAGAAAATATGGAAATACATAAACAATTAAATACTGTACTTGTATTTTAACCCTGATCATCATCACGTCCTGAATAATTGCTACTAAAACCATATTTGTGCTCACAGCTTCTCCAGTCTTTTAAGGCCCCCTACTGTATGGAAGTACATAGACTACTAAGCTGTAAAAACTGCTTACCAACAATAATGGCAGTATTGCGCTGGTAGGGGTCATAAGGGCAACGACCTCTGCCCTCATCAGGCTTCATGCTCATTGTTAAAGACTCCGAGTTCTTGATACGAAAGAGGAACAAAAGTCAAACAAAAAATGCAAAGGACTGTTTAAAAACAGACGGCACTAATTCATTAGCCGCGATCAATTCCACGTGGCCTCAAGGTTTTGTGAAACAACAGGGTTCAACCCGCTCGCAGCGCAGGACGTACCACATAGGTGCAGCGTGGACTAAAGGCAAACGTTCCACAGGCGTAGATGTGGGAGGAGTTCAGGAACTGCAGCACACGGATGAAGTTTGGACAGTCGGCCTAATGCAAACACATTGACAAGTGAGTCAAGAGAAGAGCAACGCTCTCAACGGCATGATCTTTGAATACGACATCAGTATTTGCCTAAGACACATATACCGGTGTCTCTCAGCTCTTACTCTCAATGCAGGTTCATGAGGTTTGTGTGTTTTTCGGAGTTCATTAATGTCATCGTTGTGGTCTGAGCTTTGGATTTTAAACAGACTACTTACTATGTTCTTGCCTTTCATGGAACATTGTTCCAAGTCTTTGTCTGAAGGGCTCCAGTCCAGCTGTAAGGGAAGAAAAGAGACTCTATTTTTGGGGATTCAGCATGATTCGAGTCATATGTTTGGAAGCATGCATGCATTGACATAAAGTTGTACCGCTCCTGTTGATCAACACAAAAACACAGAGAAACTTCTATCTATCTATGTATCGGTCTATCTCAATGTTTCTAAATTATTTTCTGTCATGCCCCCCCCCCTTGGGGACAGAGATGTTTTCAAACTCCCCTTACCCCCGACCCACATCCACGCGAATTAAAATAGTATTGAGAACCTGATAACATGTATATTTCTATCTATACAAACCACTGTATGAGTTGCTGCCACCTAGTGACTGGAGGCTTGTTACAGCAGTGGTACACTTATGTCCATATGCGTGCCATTTTCCATTGGAAACCTCACCGCGCCTCCCCAGCAGGGCCCGCCCCACTTTTTGAGAAGTACTGGTCTTTCTATTGGTTGGTTCCTACCTTGTTCCTTAGGGTGATGACATCCTCGTGGCTAACATCCAAAGCTAGCACAGCATCCCGCGCTCCAACATACAGCATGTCTCCAGCTTCGCTGAGCAGCAGTGTGGTAGTGTTTCCGACATCGTGGTTACTAAAGCGGGTTAAGTGTCTCCCGGGGCTACCTGTCAATTTTACAGCAATCACAAATTGGATGGATTGGATTTCTACGGATATTTAGATGCAACCAAAACGGACAGACCGCAGCTAACTTTCACAGTAAATCATTTCCCATTCTTGCTATGTCGATATCGCTACGGATTGTACCAGGAAGTTGGTGAAACGTACTGTAAATCAGCCCTTTTCTTACCTATGGAGAAGGTGATTCTCGGAGTTAGATGTGTCAGACATTGGCTTAGCATTCCGAGCAAGGCCACGATAACTGACAGCGTGCTGCGATTCTCCATCACAACAGGAGAAGGTCAGAGGTCGGCCTGAACTGTCAGAGACTTCCTGGGTGAAGTGAAGGTTCTCGCTGAAGCCACATAGCGCGGCGTGTGGAGCAGACCATCGCTGGATCTGTAACACACAGATAAATACACAGTCTACTGTAATACCACGATGAGATGAGTTTTCTGATCTGCTGTACTCTCTTTTTTCTTGCGAATTAAAATTATTTCCATACTAAGAAAAGAAAAGAGTGAAGACTTCAGGAAGGAAGTAAGGGCAGTTCTGGGCTGTGTTGAGGAATTCCCAGATGATTGGGAGACTACAGCTGCAGGGATTAGGGAGACAGGTAGGAAGGTGCTAGGTATGTCCTCTGGGCAGAGAAAGGAGGACAAAGAGACCTGGTGGTGGAATGATGAGATCCAGGAGAGTGTGCAGAGAAAGAAATTAGCGAAGAAGAGATGGGAAAAGAAGAAGCTCTTTATGAGTAGAACTTTCTGGAAACTTTGGAATCTTAACAAATCAAAATGTATAAAGGCAGAAATATATATATATATGTATATACATATATATACATACATACATATATATATATATATATACATATATGCGAACGCTAGCAAAAGTACACCAATGAATGACCAAGTTTTAAGTGACAAAAAAAACCCTCCAGCTGCTAAATATGTTGTAACTTAAATCTTCACAAAACACAATTTGAAATAAATTTCATTTTCTTAAAGGGAGAGGGTAGCGTCTCTTCCTGTGTACAAATGTGTCCCCACAACTACACGAAAGGGACATGAGTGAAGCGAATGCAACAGATGTTTAAAAAAAAAAAAAAAACGTCAGGCGGATAACAACATGGTGCCAAAACCATTCTGCTATTAAAATCATGCTAATGTCCTGATGGTTCGCGTTAGCTATCAAAGTAATAACATGTCCGTATGTTAAAAAAAACGCCCTGCGCTGCTTTACTTTGATGATATCTGACGAATTATCTTTTGTTTTTGCCTTTGCTTGAGGACACAGAAAAGTAAAACGCAGTTTCATTCGCGCGCTCACGTAGATATGTCCCCCAACTGATGCTCACGGTGATGTCTCATGTGTCCTACCTCAGGTTTATCTTCCTCGCCGAGCACTCTTGTCCTCGCAGCTTCTCTTTTCTCTTTTGTCCTCACGAAGAGGACAGCGAGGTCTACGGTTGTGTCTCCCTCGCAAGAAAGGTGGACATTTAAAAACTATTCGTTTTAGCCGGCGAGAAGACGCTGACCATAGCTGAGCTTCCACTATAACAACAAAGCCCCTGAGAAGTGAGACACACACATGCACACACAGAGGGGGTCGCTAGTCGCCGCCTACGGGCAGGTCCTACGCACGACAGCTTGGAGCGAGCGGTTACTTTTCAATTTAGAATGCGGATTATTTACAGTTATTTTCCTTAGCTCACAGTACATGCTAATTTGAAACGCTTTACGTGTGGCCTACTGGTTTATGACTGACGTTACGTTATTTTATATTTACCTGATCCTGAAAACTCAAGTCAAAACTTTGCCCGAATTGGTCTTTTTTAAAAAAATAAAAAGCAATGCGAATAATTCCGGACACAGGGCGAGATGTGTTTTAGATTTAGCAACAGATAGCATATTAGCATGTTGATAATAGGGGCTACACAGGCATTGTGGTAATCACTTCTGCCTCACGGTAACTGCTAGTCTTTCTGTATGTAGTTTTGAGCAAAACTGAAGTTTTATTTACTTGCGTAACGTATTATTACACAACAACATAACGTATTCATTTTACGAATCGAGTAACGTGGTTGACAGCGCTAATTTAAACTTTTTTTCTTCTTAAATAAAGGAATACAGCATACAGTAGCTTTAAAGGTACAGTGGGTAGGATTTAGCAAATTATGTTTAAAACTATTTCACAGTTAAATCCAAATGATGGCTAATATGTCTAATATTTGTAAAGTTAGCTGATATGGTTGTTGTTAGCAATAGTAAGATAATATATAAAATATTAATATATATCTTCCATAATTTAGAGAGACTTGTTTAAAACAATCCAATCTAAAAGTTGAGTTTTTCAACACAATATTGTACATTATGGACGATGTCATGCCTTTAAATTGTTTTAAAACTATTGGAATGGTATGGTATGCACAAAAGTAGTGTGTAATCTGTGTAGGTACCTGTTGGGTATCTTGTTGATGTTTTTCTCGATCTCTGTCTTAATTTTTTAAAATCTCCGGTGTTATTTATTGTTAATTATTCCATTTCTCCAGACTCCACACGGTTCTTTTTCTGCAGGACTGATCAAACTAAATGTGCACAACAACTATGCCCAGACAGTGACGTGATCGGCGTCTCTTAAGTTATTATCCCTTTTCCTTCGTCCAGCTTCATCTCAGCCTCTTCATTTGAATGTCCGTCTTCCCTGTTGCGTTGGTCCATTAAAGATTGGAACTGAGTGCTAAGAGCAGACAGGCTTGATGGAGAGTGCGGCAGAGAAAGGAGTGGGGTGAGATGGCTAATGAGGAGAAAAGAAGATTAAAAGGATTAGCAATGGCCTGGAAACAGACATGTGGTAACAGGCTGTATTCCCAGTTTCAAACATGATGGTGCGGACACACAGGAACACATTCGGAGTCGAGTTTGACGCTGTTTTGTTTTGTTTTGTCACCAACTGCCAAGTATCTACTCTGACATTGGTACATACAACTGTTTAGTACATGCATAAATCCAGGAATGCGGGCATGCATGCATCCGCTCGGCTACGGGCTTTGACTGTGCAGAAGCTCAGAGTCAAAAAATACTTTTTGGAAACATTTCTCCTCTCTGTTTTATTTTTATTTTCTATCCAGCATATCTTATATCTAGTTTTGGGACAGTGTCAATGTTAGGTTAAAAAAACGTTTTTAATATAATTAAAGGAAATAAAGTTAGGTTAGAAAAATAAGGTGTTTATATACAGTAGTTACTGTAAGGCTTTTAGCTAGTGACAACCCATCTGACTGTTGGTGGTCACCTGGCCTGAACGTTATGATTATTTGTTTGGCAGCTGGTGGACTCGAACCTGAAGCCTTCTGGACCCAAGTCCGCTTCCTTAACCACTAAGCCACCATTGCCCCTAATCACGACATCTTAGCCAGTTTTTTTTTTTTTTTTCAAGAGAGCCTATGTCAATAATGTAGGACTTGTTAACAATGACACAATAAAATTCTACTGGAACCCTTGAGCCGTGGACGAAGGCTTTTAAATGCATATTTAGCACCACCTACTGGCCAAAGGAAGGGGACTTAATAATTTATAGTTTATATTTTATTTTAGTTATTTTAATATATGGAAGATTTTATTTTAATATATATATATATAAGACATTACTTAGTCTTTTATATTTAATATATTCATATATTTTATTTTGATATAATTAAATATATGTACTGCATATATAAATATATATTTAATATACTAAAGAAGCATTCCAAACCGTGTTCATAGCAGTGTTGTAACATTTTCACTCATCAAATGCACCCTCATAAAATAGCTGTGTCATTTGCCTCGTTATCTAGGCAAATTACAGTGAATATACTGTAGAACTGGACGTTCCTCTGTCTGCTGAGTTCACTCTTGTTACGGTACTTCAACTGCTCTCCGCGGCCATGCTGAACCTCTTTTGGACTTTTGAATTGTCCAGCTGTCTTTGACAGCAGGAACGACTGTTGGTAAAATCACTTTTCTGGAATAGAAACCAATACGTATTACTTCAAAAATATTGCCTTCAGAGTAACAACGATTGATTCTTTGATTCTTATTTGTTTGTTTGTTTCTACTCCATCATCTGAACCTCTACACTTGCACCATGTTGGTGTTTGTGAATGAATATGAACACTGTAAGAAGTGCCAAATTTGATAGTCAGTGACTCATACTGCCAGAATCAGGTGTAGCAAGTTTCAGAACATTGCTCAACTTTCTTGAGCTTCAAAATGTCCTCCATGACACTCTTGGCAAGTCAATTCAAATAGACAAATGTGTTACGTTTTTAACTACTAAAATCTGTTTTATTCTTTACGTATTTAACAATACCAAAACCATTCAACTGAAATGACAAGCAAAGGCTGCAACTCTTGGGCCAGGCAGGCGCAAACTAAGGCCCGGGGGCCGGATGTGGCCCGTTCAGGTTAGAAATCCGGCCCAGCAGACTTTTCTAAATTATATAATACTAATATTATTCTTCCGCCTTTTACCTGCAATACCCATATTTCCCCAATAGATGGCGTAGAAAATGAGTTTAGCCTTTATGCATGATTTTTACATGTCATTCTCTCTGCTCCTGACCCGGCCCCCCTATTCAATTTTAGGACAACTGTGGCCGGCAAGTCAAAAAGTTTGCCCACGCCTGTCAATATCGTAGATTTAAAATACCTTCCAATTTTCTTTTCCAACAGATCGGATTATGCGAAGCAGTCGATGGGACTTAAATGTGGGAAACAGGTGAGAAAACACCCATGAATCAGTTCGCCCGCAGCTCTTAAGCCAATGGGCATAGCAGATGTTTTGACAAGTTTTAGCAGGTGGGAACAACGTGACAACGAGCAGCCTGCACCACTACAGCGAGAGTCATCATTCATTTGTTGATTTACCCCCTGTTATTTTCCTAGACCGATCTGTCTGTCGGGCTGGTTTCTATGGGAAAAGGGTCTCGTTGTTTATTCTACTGACTAGGTAATTAACCAAAACAAAATCTGCTTTCAGGCCATTTTTCCGGATGTCACCGTGGTTTGACCCACCCGAACCTAAAACCTGAAGAATGCGGAATGTGGGCCACAGACGTACACAGAAACTTCATTTCCGTCCGAATGGGCGACGTTACAACTGATGTAAATCCGAGGTCCACAGAACCTCTGGGCAAGTCAGCGTTGGAGACACAGTTTGAGATAATCACTGAAACTGGAATTCCTGCCTGTCACGCCCCAGGTTCTGTTCCTCAGACGGAACCTGCCGGCGTTGGAGGTAGTTATATTTGGAAGAAGTCATTTTATCAAACTGAGTCATGTGATTTCAAACATGTTATGCCTAATCCAGATACAGCACTACACTGAACACAGCCATGAGTTTATACTTATTTCCAATGAGGATCCTTCGGTGATCGAATCAGCCGTTTACCTGTCCGAGGTAAAGAAGGAAAATATTGACATTGAAATTCATTCGCCTTGTCTGCCCTTACTCGCTAATACATCAAGACCTCACCGAGGGCCCCCGCCACTCATTTTGGAAACAACGGTTTTGAAGTAATAAGCATATTAAAACATGTTATGAATTTACACGTTAACTGATAAATAACTGATTTATCGGTTATGGAAATACTATGGAGTTACCGAGGGTGCTTTTTATTACACTGGACTATCAGGTTATACTGCTGTCATTCTGCTTTCCGTTAGCTATTCATATACTGATAATGCGTTATATGGAAGGAAGGAAGATACTCCTCGCTACGTCCGTTGACTCAAAAAGACTGAGCAAGACTCTTCTTTCTTTAATTGTTTATTACATCATTTTCTTTTTTTTTTTTATGGTGTCACAAAGGTCAGATTACAGAGAATTACAAAATATAAATACATAGAAAATGCGGAATTATAGAGGACAAAGCAATGCTGGTAAAAACATATATTTAGAGATATTATCTGCTTGATTTGTGTTGATAGGGATGACATATCGCAGGATCCAGTTAATGTGTGGACCGTCGCTTCTAAGGCCAAAAGAAACACTGGGAAGCAAGAGTCGCAGCAATCACAGTCGCACCAGAGAGAAGTTCTGGAATGTTTCAAAAACGTCTGGACTTTACAAAGTAGTTCCTCCTTGACGCTCACGTACTGCATAATACTTTAGCATTTTTGACTCGCAAAGTTAGGTATACTATATAGTGTTGTGAATGACAATATATTTTGCACGAAAGTGGTTAAACTAGTGGCTAATGTCTACAATCTCTCAGAGGTTTTCAGATGCGGTGAGCTAGAAGCGATTCTATTATTCTGCGACGTAGACGTGAAACAGAGGGACGTTAGTTCGTTGTTTTTTTTTGCGATGTGAATCGGAGACGTGAGAGCACTATTAACGACCGTGGTATATATAAAAAAAAAAAAAGGAGGTTACAATTCTAAAACGTAACAACACTTACAGTCGTGCAGCAGTAATTGCAAAAATAGGACATCATATAACATCTAAAGGTATCAACGAGTGCCAAAGGAAAGATAAGCAATTTGAACCCACAAGGTGGCGCTGTTTGGAATGTGTAAGTGAGTCACCTGTGGACTGTCTTCTCCACCAAGGTTGTACAGATTTGAACTGAACAAAAGTCATTTTTAATTTGAACTTTACTTTTCCAGCACAGATGAGAGACAGCAAGCGAGTGACATACATAGGAACAATGGAGACAGAGCTGGTAATGTAATTTTTTTTGTTTTTAAGCTGAGTGGACAATGATGAATGCTGCATTGATTTGACAAATGAAAAAAATGTCAATGCTGCAACATAGTCAGTTTGACACTAAAACGGTTTGTTTTGCTGCTTGTAAAAAAGAAAAAAAAAAAAAAAAAAAAGCAAAGAATGCTGGGTGGTACAAATGTGTAAACCACACAGCATTACACTAACTTCCTTAGCGGTACATTTTGGAAAGCTTTTGACATGTGCACGCGAGACTTGGCACACTTGTATTCTGTCTGACACCCGATTAAGATAGTAATACGCATGTGTGTTGGTTAATTCCAGGGTAGAAACTCGGAGCTTACTGACGTGTAAGGCTGAAAGCTAGCTCTTCACAGGACAATGCAGCTGCATGAGCTTCCCTTCACGCCGCTGAGGAGGCCATGCTGGTTGGTGGCTACAGACTGGATAAGGTTCCAGAAATGTGAGAAAGAGATTCCCTCTCCGTCACCTACGCCCATCTTTCGCAGGATTTCGCCCAGTCCTTGTTCCGTGCCGATGCCCTGTGAAATAAACCGGATAAGAAGTTCTTTTTGAATACTCTGGATGCGAGTATAAGCGCGGGACTTCACTCAAAATAAGCTAACAAGTACTACCTTAACCATGAAAGAAATTCTTCTATGCCAGCCAAAAGAAAAAAGTATATTAGTGATATATTTACACAGAAAAGTCATTCAGTTTTTTGTGTTTTTTTTTTGAATAAATACACACGAAGTTTAGGTTCTTCTGAAATATCTCAAAATAAATTGTCAAAAATATATATTATTTTTAACGGATACATGGATGAAAATGGATGGATATATATTATTTTTATGTAAAGTTTACTTTAAATTTGCAGAAATGTTATCAATTATATATACACATACATATACACACACAAATATATACACTATGTATGTATGAATATATGTATATACATATATACATATATTCATACATACAGAATATTATATGTGCTGGATAATTTTACGAAGACACTTATACTGTACAGCCTGCCACGTGTGGGGAAAAAAAAAAAAAAAAGCTCATAATAAGTTGATTGTGGTGAGTGGATCATAATGAAGTGAAGGATCATTTCCTTTTCACATCACATGCGTGCCCTGATAAACAGCATACAGCCACAGTATTGTGTGCCACGCAAGAGCCCGTATCAGTCATTACAGGGTTTTAGACGATATTTTAAGTCTCACTCATAAAGGCCACAGTAATTCTGATAGCTATTTTCTTCGGCAAGCACATGGCGTTTTTAACGGTTTCGAACAAAGTCGCGTGGGGGAAAAGAGCGACTCGGTGACCTTCACGTGGAGTTACCTTTGGGCAGCTAAGCTAACACAAGTGCCACCTACTCTGCGTGCAAACAACTGATAAAAGAAAAGGAACTGCATTTACAAAGCAGACACAGAACCCCCACTGCAGGAGCACTTCAAATGAATCACATTGTTCTGTTTTTTTTTGTCAGACTATCGTGAATCATTTACGACACTCTAGAATGTTTCATTCTATGACTAATGCAGCTAAAAAACACGATGGAAACCGAGCCTTCCTGTTCATTAAAAAAAAAAGCAATTTGATATTTTACCCTGCCAACTTTGGAAACTTTAATTAACCAAGGGTATTTACACGATTAAACTTCCTGTTATCCCATCGCAATACTTCTCAAATAGTGGGGCGAGCCCCCCTGGGGGCATTCAGGCCTTACAGCAGTGTACTACTACTGTAATGCTTGAATGATAACAAGCCTCCAGTCACTAGGTGGCAGCAACTCATACAGTGGTTTGTACAGATAGAAAAATACATGTTATCAGGCTCTCAAAATGTATTTCAATTTGCAGGGCTGAGTCAGATGGGGTACGCACTTGAGTATCAAAGTACTTTTTAATATAATGTTTTTTTTTTCTTAATTCAAATACAAAGTTTATCTAAAACCACAAAAGAGCAAAAACGGAATATGGTCAAATTAGCAAAGCTAAACAATACAGAAGTTTACGTTACGTATCAAAAATTAAAAAGGCCTTCTTGTGGTCACCCTGTGATTTTCCCTTTGACTACTGATAAATGAATACATGTTATACTACTAGGTGTGTGCTCCTGGTGAGTGGGTGCAAGACCTCTGTGACTGTCTTTGTGTGGTGTGAGCTGTGCTGCCACACCCAGTTGTTACAGTCAGTGGTGGCTTAGTGGAGGCTGAAACAGATTAAGGATCATTTCTGTCTTACCTTAACCAGGTTGGGCATCTGGGAGGACAGCAGTCCTTTAAATTCATCTGTTTTAAGGCTTGGGCTATTGTCTGCTGAAGCAGAGTGGAACTGGGTAACCAGTGTGTTGATGGCCTTCTCAAGGTCTGAAAACTGTATACAAAAATATATGAGAAAAAAAAATAAAAAATTAGGCAAGAAATGAAACACTATAAAATTAAAAATTAGGCAAGAAATGAAACACTATCCTACACAAAAGCAATATATCTACTGTCTTCATGAAAGTTAGCAAGGACAGTGAACTCTTTGCCATATTTACCTAAAAGTCAACAAATGCAGCGTGTGACCAATGAGTTTAAAGTGGAAACGATACTCTTTGTATTCAAAAACGGACCAACTGAACTATTAGCAGGGCAATGGTGACTCCACCCTCCCACCTCCAACTGCTAAACAGTTTGTTTATCTCTTTATAACTGCCTTTTAGTGTAATTTACTACAGGACTAAAGCAACTGTTCCACCCGCTCTACAGCAAACAGTAGACAGACACAGTTTTTAGGTCAGAAAGTAAAGAATGAAGGGACAATCAACCACTCCAAAGTCACGGGATCAATTGAAAAAAATAACATACAAGAAAACAACCAAGGTGTTGAACAGAATAAGAAGAAAAAAAAAATTATCTTAGGACCACACGGGTTACAGTGACAACCTAAAACAAGGGCTAAACCAGGCATGCGCAAACTTTTTGACTCGCGGGCCACAATTGTCCTAAAAGAGCAGAAGGAGCATTAACTAGAATAAATGTAATATATAAATGTGTATATTGTGAGTTATGCCTTATGGTTTTACATAAGACTGAATGCAGTGCGAGGAACTAGCATGTTAAAGGCCATAGCATCTTTACAAAAGACTAACGTAGTAGATGTATATTAGCTTAGCAAACACACACATTGGGATACACATATAAAAATGTATACAAGCATATAATTTCTTCCCCTAGAAAATCATAATCATAATCACAACACTTAAGGTTTCATGTGTAGTTCAGTGTCTGGTCTGCAGCCCCTCCTTAGTTACTGAGCTGAACTTCTACCTGAAACCAAACTGGTGCTAAAGGAAGGGGCTTTGATAAAGAACGTCTGAAAAACCACCTTAAAAATAGCAACAAAAAATATATATACATATATACATACATAAATACATACATATATACATATATACATACATATATACATACATATATACATACATATATACATACATATATACATACATATATACATACATATATACATACATACATATATACATACATACATACATATATACATACATACATATGTATATATATTATACGTAACTATGGACGAGAACTGGTTTTCTCAAAGCCATCGGTGAAACACACTTCAGGCGCTTGCTACAGTTATTTAATACATGTGGGCCAACAGCTTTGTGAAGACCACACCCTTTCTGACTGATGTACCACAAGCTGCTGCAAGCCACCTTCTCCTAAATTATAAACTATCCTGAAAAGCATCAATGTCCAGACTTCACTCATGGAAACTCAACTAGAACAAAAAAAAAACACACCTCTTTTTAGTACTACAAAACTCAATGGTACAGCATAATTCATTTATATCATGAAAAGAATGAGAAAAATCAGAAAGTGCAGTCTCACAGAAAAGTTTTTACTTTTATGTTTATTGACGTATTAAAAGGTTTTGTGATTTTAGAAAAAAAAAAAAACAACAACTTTTTGTTTCGGTGCATATTTCCACACCCAAATCCCATTCTCACAGTTTACTTTTTACAACCAACAAAGTTGCCCCCTGGTGGCTAAATGATACTTTCCATTTGCTTCCACATGTACTGTTACACAGCATTCACAGGCAGGATGTGGGGGATATCTATCTGCTATTTCCGATTTAAAGGATTGTAAAAGACTTTCAAAATAAAACGTGATACTTCAAAAACATTGCTATTCGTCAGTAAATTATTTAAATTGAGGAATTATTTGAAAATCTTAACGCACGTTCTAAACCCCAAAGCTGCCTACAATAACAAAAACGTATCACAATGGGAGAAACACTTAAAATGGCGCAGAATTTATGGATTTAAAGAGTGGCTTATACCCTATTTAAAGTCGTGGTGAATGAGTTATTGATTATTAAAGTTAGCTGTCAACTATTCAAGTTAGTGTAAATTAAACAGCATTGGTATCTTGAAGTGAACTGATTTATGATATTTAAAACGGTTCTTTTTCCCGCTTTGTAGATAAGAGAGGGAATGTTTCTTGGTTGTAATTCAAATGATTACAAGAGAAGGTAAAATGGAGTTTGGGAGGAGGCTCGGTGTTTGTGTGGAGCTGACAGGCCTGACAGGCCACACTGGAGGCCTGAGCGAGAAGTTTCCATACTGACAGACGCGACGAAACACAAAAAAATAATCTGAAAATCAGAGTCGCTGTCATTTTTACAAACGTGGGTCAGTGTCGGCGCCTCACCTGAGCCCACACCCACTCCCATTCTTCGTGTCAGAGACATTCAAACCGCCGCCGAGCTTCAGCTTAGGGATTCAGGACTGGAGAGGAATGACAGGGAGGGGCCACTGGCAGCACCGCTCGATAAAGTCTAACTTCATAAGTTCAGTAACGTCAACTCGGGAAACAACTAAAAGATAAGTTAATATCCCTAATATTACAGGACGGTTTAGGCGGAAAAGTTAGTGTGTCGTCATATTTTTTTTTTCTTGGCGTTTCATCTCCCGAAGTCCCTCCATTTGGATATGATTAGTTTCACATAGGAAAAAAAAAATGACGTTATCACGCAAGGAAACGTAAATCTGGAGTTTGACAGAAAACTGTCCAGAGACGGTTAGAGATATCAGCGGTAAAACGGCTTGTTCGAGTTTCACTTCTTACCTGAGGCATGTCGACTGGAGTTTTCTTCGAGCGTGTCGTGGAGGAGCTGCTGCTGCTGCTGCTGCGTATAAGCGCGAGCGTGTGTGGGTGAACGTGTGTGTGTTGAGCTGCCTCTGTCACCAGCTGGCTCCACTCCTGGATCCTCCCACAGCTCAGAGACAGGGAGCCAGGAAGAAGAAGAAGCTGACAGCAACATACCTTACTTCGATCAACACAATGGGCTACGTTTGGGAATGCCAAGGGTCATTTACTGTGTTATAGCAGTTCGATGCTAATGTGAAGACATTTCTGAACACGTTCACTTCCTTAATGGATTCTCACTTATTTGACTATGTCTATTGATCATTTACAACAGCGGTTCCCAACCCCCGGTCCGTGGGCCAGTACTGGACCAGAATTGGTTCATATACATATACATTTTCTTTCCTTATATAAGGATAATTTGAATTTTTTTTTTCAAAATAATGCGTCTTTCAGACGCCGATGCGAACAGAATAAAGTCTAAAAGATAGAAGAATATCTTAACAATACTTCAACCGTCACTGCAGTGCTACAGGTCCTTAATACAAAAAGTATTGGGGATCACTGATTTACATATGGATACACCGAAATGTGTCACCTGCCTCTGGGGAGTGTGAGAATTAGTCAGGGCGGGATTCAAACATGCATTCCTCCACTTGGCCCACCTCTGTTTTGAGCCTCACTGGTGAAAGAAAACAAATAAAACAACTTATTTCAGACTTCCTTTCGTGTTTGGTACAATAATAAAGAGACAATAAACACTTGTATTGGACAGACTTTTTCCAAGTCGTGCAATAAGTATTATAAATAATTTCAACGGAGGAGGGACGATAACGAACAAACTAAAAAGAAGAAATAGGGCTCAAAAATGTAAAATATTGTTATAAAGATATTGTAAAACAATACATACACGTTACACAACGCAACTTTACAAAACACACGTTATTACACAACGCAACTTTACAAAACACCACCTCACTGTTTGTATTCAAAGTTTTCATTGCCTGTAGAAAAAACAAAACAAAACAAAAAACCAAAATTGTTTGTTTGTACTAGTTTAAAGGAACCGGAAGCGCGGCTGGGAGCAACTCGTTTAACAAGTAATGTCCAGAGTGGCGTTTGACTTGCAGGATTCACGGGATTCACAACTAGGGTTGTGACTAATATCTGAATATTCACGCTGTTGCGAACATACCTGACAATCCATTTTGCAATGTTGGCCTTTGGCAGGATCACGGAGGTACAAATCACTTTGAGAATCTCACTAATTAGCATGTGAGCCAATCGGAGCTGCGAATCGGTTGGAAAAACAAATAGGGGAAAGAACAAGGATCTAGACAGAACAGAAGTGGATTTTTTTTTTGGGCTAAAATTGAAATGTTCAGCAGTTTGCACTTCCCTTTTTGTACGCACAAACTCTTACTTAGTCATATCTGAATGGGTTTTTTTGTTTTTTTTTAATGTCAGTTTTCCAAATCTCTTTCCTCTTTTAATTCCTTTTGCACTACATGAGTTGAACTTAAACGGCTGTGGTCCTTGACGCAGCTCTAACTGGCACACTTGAATGTGGTTATATTTATGAATTAGTCCAGTGTTTCCCAAACTTTTTTTTTTTGACTGCAGTGCCTCCCTTTTGTAGATAGAACACTGTCAAGCCTCCCCCGCCCTGCACATTGACAGATTCTCATCTGAACTTTATTTGAAACACTGTAACCGCTCAAAACAGATTTTCTCACTGGAAGGGGGGAAAACGATATTAAGGCCATATTTACCACTTAAATACAATAATATTTAGCTATTTCGAAAACAGTCAGCATCCATTTTATTCTGTTTGTGGCATCGCATTATGTGAATTATACAGAAAAGACAGATCAGATGGGGTTTTACAGCGGTATGTGTTTTGAGCTGGGTTCTGCGTTTCATATTCGCCAAATGTAAACATCTATCGTAAGGACACGCCCACAACAACACAAGGGAAATCCACGATCGTGACGATGGCATTAACTTTATAGATATCTAATGTGTAGAGCACAAACAGCGTGTTGGCTCCTCCGCTAAGGCTCAGCTCACAGTCAACAGACAACTCCTTCCACATCTGGAAACCTTTAGTAAGAGTTGGACCCTTCTGTTTTTACACAATAACTGCCTGCATGTTTAGGCTGGTATTCTACTTTTCTTCCACACTGTCGCTGAATTAACCTCTTCATCACCAACGGCTCGTGTGACACTGGATCATTTTGATACATTCGTACACACATTCCTACAGTCGACGTGGGACGTGGGAAAAGCCAGTTCGGAAAAAAAATGTTTGTGTTTTAAAAAAAAAATAAAAATAGGCAGAGAGATGGAGGAAGAGGAGGAAAAAGGGAGAGGGGGAGTGAAAATGGGAAAAAATAGAAAGTAGAAGTAGAAGAAGAAAAAAAAACCAAACCGGCTTGGCTACATTCTTTTGAGGCGGTTTATGACAGCGAGTGGGGAGGGGTAACATAACCGCAAACATCTGACCAAAGGGGGAAGAAAAACACCGCACAGAAATCCGATACGCTCAATGTGGACTGAAGGGACAACGTCGTCCCGGCGTGTCAGAAACCTTTCAGACACAGCTGATGTCTTAAGAATAAAGGGTGTGTCACAAGATTTGAGCAACCAGAGACCTACTCTCACCCCGCCCCTCCTCCTCCTCCTCCTCCTCCTGCGACGCAAGAGTATCTGAGTGGGAAGAGTTTATGCCACACCCGGTAATTTGTTTCAGTACGAGCCCATAATCATTACCCACTGTTTCATCCTAAGAGCTGCTTCGCCGAGCTGCTCGCAGATGCTTTGCGTTAAGATACACAGACGTGCGAGATACACATGACATGACTGTGCAAACCCAGACACAGATTAAACCCTCAGTCAACATTCCTGTTATATTAAATAAGACAATACCAAACAGAACTCGGGGGGGGGGGGGGGGGGGGGGTGGGGAACAAACATCAGTTAACGGTTAGCACTAAGAGCTTTTTCACCGAGAAGTTTCAGTGACGAGATCAGCTTTCATGGATTCTATAGGTTTCTGGATAAGATGACTTCCAAATATATAATGTATAGTTTGTTGCGTGAAAAAGAGAACCTTGAAACACCTCAAAACACAGTTTTGAGGTGTTAAAAAGTTAGTGTGTGTTAAAAAGAGGTTAAAAAGTTAGTTAGTTCTGGGACATACAATAGCAGACACTTACGGTAAGACTTACGTCTTACCATCGTCATTGCACCCATTTGAATATCGCTGCAAGTGTAACTGATTCAAAAAGCACAGTAACAGTAAAATGTTTGACCCTTTTGTTGACTAGTTTTATTTTTTGAACGTAACCCGCGGAGAACTAAAACTTTGGCGATCCCCGTTTTATAAATTCACTGACATATTTGACCCTTCACTTGTTTTATGTTTTTCTTCCA